GGACAGTCTTGAATGTACCATCACATCCGGCTACTGTGATCTATAAGTTATAACATCATAACACTACTAATAATACTTAAAAATAAGAAAAAAAATAATCTTGACTTACGTTTTGTAACTCAACAGCTATGTCCTGAATAAAACTTGTGTTACAAAAGACTAATCCAACTAACATTCCATTTACCATCAATGGCCCCTGATAGAATCTGTAAATGGAAATAATCATTTACATTTTAATTTTTTTACTGATTAATATTAGCTTTTACAGATTTGGTTGTGCCTGGAATGTGAGGGTAAAGTGTCGGTTTTCATTAATTTGTAAAAGTTGATGGAGGTGTAAAAGATTCCTTGGAGTTGGGGGGAATATGGATTTTCTAATTTGGCGCATTCTCTCTGTGGCTTGGAGGTATGTATAATTGTATGCTCCTTCTGGACAACTGAAAATTAATTTATAATAATAATAGTAATTACTGTTGAAATTTATCAAAATAATTATTGTATTAAACATTACATTTTAATTGCTTGCATGTATAATGCTTTAGCTGAATAAGGTGTAGGACTATGAGCTACACACTGTTCTGCAAGAATGTTCCGTAATTCCCTCATGGATGTCTCATCTCTCCTTACTCTATGATTATGTCGCTTCTTGATGAAAAATGCATTGTCATTTAAATTTACCGATATCGATCCTGTTGCTGGACATCCACTCTTATATTCCTTGCATCTCACATAACTGTGAACAATACAATTAAATAAAACTTAAATTTCTTCACACAATTGTATTACCTAAGTATTCCAACTTAATTTACATTTTTCTTTCAGTTGTTTTACTTTTAAAGTACATATGTCCTAAATTGTCCTTGATTATATGTTCTGTGCGGTGAACACTGGGAATTGTTACATAGGAATGAGGACGTTCATCGTCATCTTCCAGAACATCAACATCCATAGGTTCAAATTGATTTATATATTCTTGAACTATATTTAAACCATTGAAAAAAAATATATAAAATGGTAAAATTTGATGGGCATTGTGAGAGAAAAAAAGCTTTCTACTAGAAATTGTCTTCAGACAAAAAAAATACTTTGTTCGTACCTGGTAATATATAGTCGTGATCCATTAAATGAAAATTTGCCATAGTAAAAAATTAAATAAAAATTTAAAACTGAAAACCTTTAAAAATGTGTAGGAGTGAAGTTTAAATAAAATGCGTATAGGTTGAGTTAAACAAACCTGTGACCCAGTTTTCTATAATATGTTATAATTTCAAGATCTATAAATAAATAATATTGGATTTTCACATAATAGTGATAGGTAATCATCTTTTCTACTATCTTATTGATTGTATTAAATATGAAACACCATTTTAGATTTTAAGCACACAGATGAATATTAATTTATAATAATGTAATTTTATTTTTTTTGTGTAAAAAAATATTTTTTAACTGCATATTTTTATGTATATATTTTTTTTTGTATATCTAGTATTTAATTAAAATAATAAATGCATCAAATACAGTGAATATTAAAACATGTTATTATATATATATAAAAATAAAATATCTTTTATCATTAAAAAAATGTTAAATAAGATTAACCCTTCCATAACAATATTTAAAATTAATAATTTGTCAGTCTTGTAAAGTACCTAAGTAAAATTGATTTTAAATGGATATACATATAGACAGTCTTATTTAATGTACCATAAGTTAACCCTTGTAATTCTATAGTTTCTTCTTTCTACACTAGAACACAAGTGGAAAATGCTCCTGAGTTCAGTTAGGGAAGTTCAATTAAGGGAAAATTAATATGGTATGTCGTATATGTATATATCTTATAATAAAAAAAACAATATAATTTAGTTAATCATATTAATTTGTTTTTATTCTATTAATGATTACATTATGTTTAAATTAATTGAAAATTGTAACGCATTAAAAGAAGGTAAACCTCTAAGTTTATGTTACATACATTCTTATAAATATACAATTTTTATTTAATTTAATTTATACATTTTTCCAACATTGCCTTAAATTAATATTAATTAATATATTATACATTTCAATTATTGTATTAAATATTGTAACTAGTTGTATCCATTGTATTTTTGTTAATTGTTTCTTTGTAATGTCTTCCTTGAGAACATAGCTTATGTTTATTGTCTTCAATGATGGGCTTGTAGTAAGTTTTTGTTTGAAGTGCACCATAGCTGATGCTGAAAAAAAAATTAAGTAAGAATATTTCAAATTACTTTATGGAAAAGATTATAAACATTTAAAATTAACATTTTTACATTTAATGTGCATCAAACCCACTATAATTGACCACCTTATTTTAATTTTATTTCTTCAGTCCTGTTAAATAAGATTGTATTTAGTATTAGTATTTATCACGATTAAAGGTATATCTTTAATCGTGGTATTTATTTATTTAACGCAATACTATTTACAAGCAAATTTTGGAGTATCGCATGAAGAAGGTACCCGACCAGTTTTCTAAATTCTAAATTTTAAATCTATTGCGGTACTTACACAGCATTTCGAATAATAGAGATATTTTATTCGGTAACGTTGGTGTACCTGTAGAAGGTTAGCGATAAAAATGTCTTATCATTTTTCGAACAACTATGGGTGAGCCCACAGATATATACAATAACTAGATAGCTAACTGATTATATCTGACGCACTATGATTAAGAAGCCGAACGCCATATGCGTGGTAGTCAATGTTTTTGTTTGTTATCACTTTATCAATTCGAATTTATCATCATATTATTGTACAGATATTATATCAATAATTTATTGCATACAGTGTTGCCGATAGTACGGTATTTGTCGGGGGATTACGGTAATTTCATACTCCGTACGGTCGGAGTACGGTCAACCAAAAATGGGTCAAATAGTACGGTAAATTCAAAAAAAAAAAATTAGCTTTTCATCATATTTGTTATAATTATTTTGTATTTGATTTTATTTTGTATTAATACTATATATTATATAATATTGAACTTCGAACCTGACCCAGACTTTTGATCGTGATATTATGTGAGCTGTACTAAGATGGTGCTCAGTTTCTCCCTAGTTAGAATTCCCATAGAATTCCATAGAATTCCCCATAAAAGAAAACAGAGTTCATCTAATAACCCCAAACCTTGGGTGAAACTATCATAATAATTAACTATAATTTTTAATTTTAAATATCATGTAATTTTTGTTTTTGAATTTTTTATTATGTTGTCTGTAATTAATTTTTACTTTATACTAATTTACGTGATCTCAGAACAATAATGACCAATGACATTTCATTTCACAGGCATACATATATTGTGACAAGATGTGATAATTGCTAACTTTTTTATAAAATATGTTTATTTGTAAATTTATGTTTTATTATTCATTGAACAATTTAATAATTTTAGATTCTAAGCAGAATGATGAATGTATAATGTATTGATTTTATAATGATATGTGCATAAAAGTGTGATTTACATTTTTTATAAATATTTGATAAGAATTTGATAAGAATTCGGACCTGTGATAAGAAATTATAACTGATAACCATGCTGATAACCTAAAAAATCAATAAGTACGGTAATATCACAGAACAATATAGAATAGACACTCGATCAGCTGTGAGGGTTTACGTATCCCTACGGTATGATGTATTGGACTATAAAAGTTGTACCGTATCCGTAATCTGATAGAACGTTAGCAACGTGTATCCCTCTTTGTTACGGAATTTATATAAACGATTAATAAAGATAAATAATTTATTTTTCATATTTTAAGTATATCAATATTACATTTTGGTAAAATGAATGGGAGTATCCAAATTTTCCCAAAATATTGTTGTCCCAATGTACAATTTTCCCAATTTTGAAATAAAAGTTAATTGGGATAATTGTTTATTGTATACATAAATATTTGGGATAAAAGTTATTTAGAAACAAAAATATTCGATATATAGATTTCGTTAAAATAAGAACCCGAGAAATGATAAGGTTTGAAATTCGAAAAAGAAGTACCAACTGACTAAATCGAAATTACCTAATTAATTACGAGTGATAAGCTGTTGTCCAAAAAATTATAAGGACAGATAAGAGTGGTTAGCCTGTGGTTACCCAATGACCAACTTGACGTGGTGTTGCACAGCAAGTCGGGGGATATTTTCGATTTGCGGAGCGGAGCGACGGCGCCGAGGAGCGTAGCGACGAGTGCCGCTAGCATGGCATCACTGTACGATGTTCTTTTTATCATCCTACCGAACATTCTCCCAACATTGGAACAATGTGTATTGGGACAATAATTTTGGGAATAAACTAATTGGGAGAATTATTTATTTGCCATTTTCTAATTTGGACTAATAGTTTTTGGAAGAAAATGTATTTTTTGGAATGAATATGATTGGATAATTAATTATTGGGGAGAAAAAAAATTGGGAAAATTAGTAGCGATCCAAAATGAATAAGGATTTTGTTTTAATATAAATTAAAAACTATAATGTAATTTTAAATTGGTTTATTGTTAATGAAATAATAATAATAATATATTGTATTATTATTCTGTGGACTGATAATATTGATATGATTTATTTAAATGATAACATATGCCACGCCCCCTTAGAGACCGTGCTCAAGGCCACAGTCACCCGATTTTGCCAATACACAGAGTGTCTATACCCTGGTAATATTGTTCAAAGTACGGTAATTTTGTCATATTTTCCCCGCTGACTAGATAACAAACATTGGCAACGCTGATTGCATACATCTTTGTATTATATACAGTCAATTATTGCTAATATAATTTTCATTTTTCATAAAAAAAATTGTTTTATGTGATTTTTAAGTACTTAATTAAATATGCCGCAGAACATTTCTTTTTGCTTCTAACTGATAACTTGAAAAACATAAATATACCAAATTTAGAAAATAAAATAATTGCACTTGTCAATAATAAATTTGTGCTTGATCGTAATATATTTAAGACACTTAATTGTGAAAATGTATTATATTGGTCGAGTACCCACTTATAGTTTTTACCTGGTTATACTTGTTTAATCTCTTTTCCGTGGTTCATACATTTATATAATATTTAGTTATATATTTGTTATACTACTTATACTTATACGTACTTAACAATTTTATTTTATATTTAAATAAATTACTTATTAATTATTATTAGTAATAAGTAATAACAATTTAATTTAATATATTGTATTTCATAGTGATAAGAAATGATAACAATAATTAATGTAAACATTGACTACCACGCATATGGCGGTTGACTTCCGACTGTTACGATAGTTAGCTATCTAGTTATTGTATATATCTGTGGGTGAGCCTAATTGACTGAACTGAATGACTGAATGGCTGAATGGACGAGTTCTTCTCAGTGGTGCCGACAAGAAAATAATATCGGTGAAAATAAAAAAGGGATTATCAACATATTTTAAAATATTATTAGTTATCACTTATCATTGTTAGTTATAATCATTAATCACTACTGATAAAAATTATTAAATTATTAAATTAGTGACTAATTAAAAATTACAATAATTGAATATTGATAGTTATTAATTAGTATCTTAATTCTTAACTGTTGACTTTGATGTAGGTTTATCCAAATATTTTCTTTTATTTGATGATTCTAAAATTAATTTATCAGCTTCCAATGACTGGGTCTATACATGGTAACACTCTCCTGTACTTTTACTACTGCATGTGCATTGAAATTTCTTCCCAATTTTGCTCACGACATGTGTCCTATTAGAAAACGCATTACGTACGATGTGTACCTACAAATGAGGTGAGAAATCAATCAACTTATTTTCTAACACATAATTAGCCACTGAAATTTGTGCCATTCTATAGGTAGGTTTTTTTTCAATAATTGATTTTGTTTCAATTATATTAGATTTAATATTCTTTACAATTTCTGAAATATCTTCAGT